GCAAATCTATCCACCTTGGGACCCGTTATCGTTTGTGGGGTCCGTTTCTATCGTTTTGTTACGGCCTCGTGTAAATGAAAGGGCTATACGCAAGAGAAACTATGCGGATCCAACCCGTTTTGTTCTCGTGTAAACGGGGTCTCAGATACTGTATAAAATCTGAAAATAACAAACCATGAAATCAAATGTTAAGTTTTTTCAATCTTTCAGGACCAGCCCTGGACCAGCTCCTCCTCCAGAGCTGGGGCTCGGAGCCTGCAGGAGGCGCTGCTGAGGACAGGGGGCTGGAGGGACTCCCCCCACCTCCTGATGGGGGGCGGGAGTCAGACGAACGAGGGAGAAGAGGAAGGGAAGAACAGAGGAATTCTCGGAAGAATCCTGGACATCCTGCAGCCTCAACTGACCAAGTGAGGATCTGTTACTTAATATTTGCAATATTTGCAAGGTCAAGGAGGGTCCTCATGTGTGTGTGTATATTTGTTTGTTTGCTTTGCAGAGACTTGTGGCATCGCTATGAAGCAGTGAAGCTCGTGTTCGCGTGGACGCTCCTGCAGGTTTGACCTTTGACCTTCATTCAGCCATAATTTGTTTATGCGTTCATAAGTTCAAATGTAGTTTACATCCATGCGCATTGAAAATGTCCCACTCAAGTGTTACATTTTTAACTGTGTTTGTCTGTGTTTAGGTGACTCGTCCCTCTCTCTCCCCTCACCTGTCTCGCCTCCTTCCCCCTTCCCTCCTCCTCACAGACCACTTCAGACAAGAGAACTGCATTCTGGGAGTACGCTGTCTGCATCACATTGTACTCAACACGGTGAGAACACACTCTTATGCACACACACAGTGTGAATACATATATATACCGTATTTAGACTGTATTACTGCTTTCAATAAATGAAAACATTTCAACGTATTGATCACAATAATAATAACAAGTTTCAATACTTTTATTTACTTGTATATTTGGGGGAGATAAAACACTTGGATAATGTGTGCTGCACATTATCTCTACCATACTGCAGCTCTATCTGTTCCTACAGTGGTGACTCTGTTGTGAGTGTAGTTGTGCCGTCACACTGCGTCGGTGTCAGTGGTCTCCAGTCAGTGCAGTACATGTGATGATGATGATGATGATGTTTGTGTTTGTGTTCAGCCTGCTGCTGATCTGCGTCAGTTCAACAGAGCAGAAGTTCTCTACCAGGCGTTATTCAAACATCTGTACTCTACAGACACTGCTGTAATCAAGGTAACACACACACACACACACACACACACACACACACACACACACACACACACACACACACACACACACACACACACACACACACACACACACACACA